GAAAAACGGTCGGCTCGGCGCAGTACCCGTACCGTCAGCAGCTCCAGCACCTCCAGTACCTCCAGCTCCAGCACCTCCAGTAGCACCTCCAGCACCTCCAGCACCTCCAGTAGCACCTCCAGCACCAGCAGCACCACCAGCTTTGGCAGCTCCAGCACCTCTAGTACCTCCAGTACCTCCAGCTCCAGCACCTCTAGTAGCACCTCCAGCACCAGCAGCACCACCAGCTCCGGCAGCTCCAGCACCTCTAGGACGAGCAGCTACAGCACCTCCAGTACCACCAGCTCCAGCACCTCCAGCACCAGCAGCACTACTAGCTCCGGCAGCTCCAGCACCTCTAGTACCTCCAGTATCTCCAGCTCCAGCACCTCTAGTAGCACCTCCAGCAGAAGCAGCACGACCAGCTCCGGCAGCTCCAGCACCTCTAGGACGAGCAGCTCCAGCACCTCTAGGACGAGCAGCTCCAGCACCTCCAGTACCACCAGCTCCAGCACCTCCAGCACCAGCAGCACCACCAGCTCCGGCAGCTCCAGCACCTCTAGGACGAGCACCTCCAGGACCAGCAGCTCCAGCACCTCCAGTACCACCAGCTCCCGTGCCTCCGGCACCAGCACCTCCAGCACCTCCAGCTCCAGCAGAACCTCCAGTAGCACCTCCAGCACCAGCACCTCCAGCACCTCCAGCACCAGTAGCTCCAGCACCTGCAGCACCTCCAGCAGTACCTCCAGCACCAGCATCTCCAGCACATGCAGTACCTCCAGCACCTCCAGCGTCTAGGTAACTCCAAGCTCCAGCACCAGAGCGGCCTCGCCGAACGACCCACTCATGAAGCTGATGCGGTGAGAGTGTCTCGAGTCGACTAGGGGGCTGCTGCTGTCCAACACCAGGACCTGCAGCAGGAGCACCCACGGCCCCTCCACCACTAGGACTCGCAGCACCCCCAGTCCCAGCACCCCCAGAACCAGCACCCCCAGTTTCAGCGCCCCCAGTCTCAGCACCCCCAGTCTCAGCACCCCCAGGACCAGCACCTCCTGCGTCCTCACCCCCAGTGTCACCACCCCCAGCAGCACCAGTGTCCACAGCTACAGGCTGCAGAGGTGGTGAAGACGGTCGAGGCGGAAAACCAGGAGGAGTCTTCAAGCGTGGAGAGCGACGAGTGGCCGCCGTGTCGTCAGCGGCAAGGTCACCCCCCTCAGCCGGGCCATTTGAGTCAGAAGAGATCTCCAAAGGCTCAACCAAGGAGGGTGGGTCTACCTGAAACACACCTGAGGGAGCAGGACCCTGTGGGGGGAGGGGGTCTACCGGGGGGGGGACTGGTACCAGGAAGAGAGGCGCCAGGGGGACCGAATGGGACACGTGCGGGTGGAGCCTGTAGAAACAGACCGACTCGTCAAAGGTGACGTCCTGGGAGGAGAACACGCGACGCGAGCGAGGGTAGTAAAACTGCCACGGCGGGGCGTCGGTGGGGAAGCCCAGGAAGGCGCAGCGGAGAGTGCGAGGAGAGAGCTTGCTCGCGGTGGTATCGCGGACAAGGGAGAGCGCGCCCCAGACCCGAAACGCCGACGCATCTCCAACCTCTCACGTCCAACGGAGTGTGGGCGAGGTCTCTGGCAAAGAGACACGGGGCCAGACGTTGAGCTGATGCGCAGCGTATCGGACCGCAAACGGCCACAGAAAATGGGGAGCAGCCACATGGATCATGGAGGTACGAGCAACCTCCATGATCAAGCCAATGCGACGCTCAACAATCCCATTTTGCTGCGGAGAGGCCGGAAGCGTGAACGACTGGATGATGCCCTCGTCTCGAAAGAACCCCGCAAGGAGGCCGGAAGAGAACTCACCACCCCTGTCAGAGTGCAGACGCAGGACTGGAAGGTACCGCCGAAACCGCTCGCGCAGCTGGTGACGAGTAGCGCGGATCCAGGGAATCAAAACACCGCTGACGTCCGCCTTGCTGCGCAGGGGGAAGACAGTGGTGTAGCGCGTGTAGTCGTCAACGACCAGCAGGAAGTAGCGCTCCTGGTCCGTCCTACTGACGCGGGCGGGGCCCCACACGTCCATGTGGAGAGACTGCAGAGGAGCAGTGGTCGGAGGAAACGAGGAGGAGTGAGGAGCGGCGCGCTGCCACCCCTCGATGCAGGGAAGGCACGGCGGGGCAGGCGAGCGCGGGAGGGGGGGTAGGGACCTAGGAAGGCCAGAGACAAGGAGACGGGAGTGCATGCTGCGGAGACGCGACAGAGAGGGGTGACCGAGTCAGTGGTGCCAGAGAAGATTCTGGTGGGAGAGTACCCGACACGAGCACGACGCAGCGAACTGACCAGACGCAGACACCTGACTCGACGCAGCCACCTGACCCGACGCAGCCACCTGACCAAACGCAGCGGTCAGGGTGTACAGACTGGACCCAGGCTGCCGAGTGAACGTAGCAAGGTGACGTCCAGTCCGGGAGCACGTACAGATCGCCACACGCTGCCCTCCAGTGATAAAGGTATCAACCCAAACATCCTGAAGGACTTCGTTGCTCACCAAGTTCGTCGAGAACGAGGGGAGGTGGAGGCCTGAAAGAGAGCCGGAGGGGACTGCCGGATACGGGAGGACAGTGGAGGCTCGTGCGACGACGGGGCCCCCAGAGGGGTCAGCCAGTGAGACTGGGACAGGTGCAGCGAGTGGTGTGACTGTGGTGCAATCACGAAAGAAGCAACGAGACGCGCCAGAGTCAAGTGTGAAAGTGTGTAAGGCGTCTGCTGAGGCAGCAGACTCACTAGCACCTGTGGCAGCAGACGCACTAGCACCTAGAGCGGCAGCAGTTCACTAGCACCTAGAGCAGCAGCCTCTGCACAACCAGGGACGCATCGCTGAGAAACCACCTCGCAAAGCTGCTGCTGCGAGAGGGTCGTCTGCTGACGCTGCTGCCGCTGCTGTCTAGGATGGGTAAAACCAAAACCTCCACCACCAGCACTGGCTCGCTGAATAACCCACTCACGAAGCTGCTGTGGAGAGAGAGTCTCCGGGCTACGAGACTGCCACTGCTGTCGAGTACCTCCAGGAATATATCCTCCACCACCAGGACGGCCTCGCTGAATAACCCACTCACGAATCTGCTGCGGCGATAGGGTATCCGGGTGAGGCAGCTGCTGTTGTCTACCGACAGACGCTGCTACGGCCGTGATAGTGGCCATGACAGGCAGTGGCAGTCAGTAGCAGCGGCGCAAGGGCGTCATAAGCGACTGCTGTAGCTGCAGCTGTAGCAGTAGCAGTAGTCGCTGTAGTGGCAGGGCAGCGCACAGGCTGCAGGGCAGGGCAGAGCGCAGGCTGCAAGGCAGGGCGACGCGCGAGCTGCAGGGCAGGGCAGCGCGCGGTCTGCAGGGCAGGGCGGCGCGCGGGCTGCAGGGCAGGGCAACGAGCGGGCTGCAGGGCACGGCGGCGCGCGGGCTGCAGGGCAGGGTGGCGCGCGGGCTGCAGGGCAGGGCGACGCGCGGGCTGCAGAGCAGGGCGACGCGCGGGCTGCACGGCAGGGCAATGAGCGGGCTGCAGGGCAGGGCGACGCGCGGGCTGCACGGCAGGGCGACGCGCGGGCTGCAGGGCAGGGCGACGCGCGGGCTGCAGGGCAGGACGGCGCGCAGGCAGCAGGGCAGGGCGACGCGCGGGCTGCAGGGCAGGGTGACGCGCGGGCAGCAGGGCAGGGGCGACGCGCGGGCTGCAGGGCAGGGCGACGCGTGGGCTGCAGGGCAGGACCGCACGCGGGCTGCAGGGCAGGGCGACGCGCGGGCTGCAGGGTAGAGCGGCGCGCGGGCTGCAGGGCAGGGCGGCGCGCGGGCTGCAGGGCAGGGCAGCAAGCGGGCAGAGCGCAGGGCAGGGCAGCGCGCAGCAAGCAGGGCAGCGCACGGCGAGTAGGGCAGCGCGCGGCGAGCAGGGCAGCGCGCGGTGAGCAGGGCAGCGCGCGGCGAGCAGGGCAGCACACGACGGCAGCAGCTCCTGGGGCAGTACGTACGGTTGGTGGGCCCTAACGGAGCGGTCCTACGGAGGGACCCGCTCTGATACCATGTTAGAATCTGTGAAGAGGAATGATGAATGACTAGCAACATGTGGGTACAAGTATGAAACCCTAACTGGGGTTGTACTCTATACTGAGCACCTCACTGTAGCCTAGCAGAACTAAGAACATACAAATATGTTTTGACAGGGCCGACAGGAGGGCGATTCGAGGCAAGCGCGCGGGCGACGAGGTGGATGATAGGAAGGGAGAGAGGAAAGGCGATAGACGATTCGGGGTGAGCGCGCGGGCGACGAGGTGGATGATGGGTGGGAAACTAACGATACAACTGGGTTACGTATTCCATTACGCCCCAAAGCTAAGTCGGTACATAACACACTAAAGCTAAGTACAAATTGTGTGCCTAAGACACTGTCGACTAGGATTTCAGCTCTACTTGGGCCCCAAGCCAGTTACTGCGGGAGTGAAAAACAGAGTTGTGAACCCAGATTCAGCTTGAAACCGAAGTTTCGCCTGGCGACCAAAACCATCGCTTTACAACGGTCGTGAGGGTGCAGCACGTATATATGCGACAACTGACATGAGCGCCAGAAAATATTTGGCGGGAGGGAGCCTTAAAAAAACCATGTTGGCGATAGCCAATCACATCAGTTGAATCTGAACACTTCAACGTTTGAAACAGTGCACTCTCGGCCCGACCTTCGCAGCACTCTTTCAAGTTGGGTTGGGGATCACTATTTTGCCTGCTGGCTTTAAAATCCGAGTGGTGAAATTGATGTGACACCGTGCGTTGATGTTGTTTATCCTCGTGCGTGCAGGAAACTTGAAGCGGCCGCCGCATGCGGTAGTGTTTAGGTGGACTGCCAAAGCCTGGGAGAATGTGTCGCACGTGGTCATCATCAATGCCTCAAAGACGTGCGGCATTTCCAGCAGTCTTGACGGCCAAGAGAATCACCTCGTCATGTCACACTTGCGAGCAAGGAGCACGACGGATGTCTCGGAGGACATGTCGATGCGAGGGGCCACTTGTGATAACAGTGAGTTCATGGGAAGAGAAGGTGGGGAGGAGGAGGAGGAGGAGGAGGAGGAGGAGGAGGAGGAGGAGGAGGAGGAGGAGGAGGAGGAGGAGGAGGAGGAGGGGGAGGACCTAGAGGAGGACATGGCGGCAGCTGCAGACACTGCAACCTTAGACCCAGATGACCCTTACCCCAACACTGTGCGCTACAGAGGAGCAGCAGCAGCAGCAGCAGCAGCAGCAGCAGCAGCAACAGAGAAGCTAGTGGAACCAGAAGACACTACTGCACGTGCATGGACAGTAGTTGGACTTGCGTGGCACTGGTTCTAGTGGCTAGGAGAGAGCCCACGGCCACCCGTATTAAAGACACCTATGTCTTCAATCCAACACTACCTACTATCTAGGCGATGACGGCTGTTGCATACGCAGCGGTGGGCGGCGGTGATGCTCCACCGATGGCAGGCCAAACACCCTCCCCGCTAAGTTGAACCGTGCAACCTGTCCGGCCTTCCCGCAATCCCCAGCCAATACCTACACGCCATGGCTAGGAGATGTTTGGCTAATCCTGAAAGTCGAGACCTTAGTCTCTTTGCCTGGTTCGCACCCTATCCCTTTGTTGTTTTGCCTCTTTCCCTCTTGCTTACCTTTGCGGGGTCTGTTTACTAGTTTGGAATGTGTGGTCGTTTGCATGCAGCCACTTCGTAGGCGCTGGTAGTTAAAGTACTACGATAGAGTTTGGATCCTGGTTGGTTCTTAGCTCGTCTGTGTCGTACTTGCACCTTGTTCCCTACCAATGAGGGAGAGGGGGGAGGAAAGGGATAGAGGGAGAGGATAAGGGTGAGTGGGAGAGGGAGAGGAAGAGGGGGAGGGAAAAGGGAAGGGGAAGAGGGAGAGGGAGATGGAAAGGGAGAGCGAGCAAGAGAGAGAGAGAGAGAGGGAGAGGGAGAGGAAGAGGGGGAGGGGAAAGGGAAGGGGGAGAGGGAGACGTAGGAGAGGAGAGGGAGCGAGAGAGAGAGGGAGGAGAGAGGGAGAGAGTAAGAGAGGGAGGAAAGAGGGAGGGAGCGAGAGAGGGAAAGAAGGAGAGGGGGGGACGGGGAGAGGGGGGGAGAGGGAGAGGGAGAGAGGGAGAGAGGGAGAGAGGGAGAGAGGCAGAGAGGGAGAGAGGGAGAGGGAGAGAGGGAGAGAGGGAGAGAGGGAGAGGGAGAGAGGGAGAGAGGGAGAGAGGGAGAGGGGGAGGGGGAGGGAGAGGGAGAGGGGGAGATAAAGGGAGTGAGTGTGAGCAAGAGGGAGAGGCAGTGGGGGAGAGGATGAGGGAGATGGAGATGATCAGGTATGGTGCAGGGGAATGGCTGGGAAATGGGGATGGTGCAGCACACTGGTGAGAGCATGCTAAGCCTCGTCCTAGTGCTACCTAGGTGCTGAGACCGGTTGGCTCAAAATTTTGCTTACAGTTTCCACAATGCAGAAGATGGCGTGCATGCTAGAAAATGGGAACTCAGATATTTCCACTAGATAAGAAATCCTACGGGAGCATTACAGGTGTTCCGATTAAGCAATGTGCACAGCACAGCACACGCAACTACTTAAATGACTAGAACAGCAAGCAGAAGCAGCAGCGTCAACACGACAGGCTTCAGCGGGGAGAGAGCGTTTCCTGCAAGAACAAGACATTGCGAGAACGAATCAGAATTAAGTACCATCATTAAAATCTCAGAACAGCTGACCAGCAGTGCGACGGTCTAAAATAAAGAATGTGAGCTTACCTGGGCTGTCAGGGTTCATCCAGCCGATGGGTGGGGTGGCATCCGTGGCAATGAGCGGGCCGACTCCAGGGAAGAGAACGACGGAGATGTCGTTAAGCTCCGTGTCCGTCGTCGACTTGCTGTTGACCGTCTGGTTCTTGGCGTTCGCGACAAGCTTCTCGCTGCGAATGACGCGACCGTACGCGAACTGCGTTCCGTCGTACTTGGCGTCGGTGTCGTTCGCGAGGCCTTTGGGAACTGACCTATTGTTCGCGACGTACGCGCCGGGCGGCATGCAGCTCATGAATTTGAAATAGTTGGAGCTAAAGTTGAGGGGGTTCAGAGCATAGATTGTTGTGTTGAGCATGCTTTTCACGGTGTTGCCATTCGTGGCCTGTGGAATAAAAGAAAAAGGTGACACACGTTTTAACAATCAATTTGGTCATGTGTGGACATTGGCATGCATGCACAACCACGTAAACACAAAGACACATGTCAACAGACCATCTGTCGCAATGCTTAGAAACACATCCTAAATACTCACGTTGATGATGGTATTGGTAATGTCGGTGACGTTCACTGACAGCTGCTTCATGAGACGAACCAGCACGCTCTGCGCGGCGGACGACGCGTCATACAGCCTGCCGGTGGCACCACCGCTGTCCCTGACTGCCAGAAGCGCCTCGAGAATGATGTCCGACGAGCCAGGGGGGTTCAGCGTCTTGTTGTAACCGCTCACTGCAGATCCCCACGCCTGGTTGGTCGGGGAAAGGATGGTTGCTATGTTCACATCATTGAATCCCTCCTTCTCTGAGACAAACTGCAGGAGCGCGGAGGTCATGGACGTTCCCTGGAGATCGCCGAGCGGTCTGGCGCGCATCTTGGAAAGCAGCATGGAGACAGACGCGCCATTGGCAGCTGTCGCGAGGGACAGTACCAAGGCGGACAAGGCAAGAGCCAGGAAGAGAGTACCGCGAGCCATGGGTGTGAGTTGGAAATTAGGACAAGGTAATACTGATCTGAGTTCTGTGAACAATTTACAGTGGTGATTATGGCGGCGCGAGATGAGGTCTCATCCTCGTCGTGAACAAGTTCGTGTCTCTAGGACTTGTGCAAAACAATTGGGATCAAAAGATTCCTCACAGCGGATCAACTTTCAGCCTCTCTTTGTGGCGAGAACCGATCTGTAGTTTAATTTCCGAGAAAACTGCCAATACAATTAACTTATACTCCCTAACCCGTAATATGGAGTTGTGACTTACAGAGGAAAAACACACTTACATAAACACAAGGGAGAAACCGTGGAGAGAAAACACAACCTAGTTGTCAAATTGGTGGAGGCGCGATTGGGGGGCATATACATGCTGCCTCGGCAAAAATATTCCAAACAATGAAAGATTCGCTTTCGCATCGCGAAGAATAGAAATCCACGTGGCAAGTGGTGATGGGGCTAAACCATCTCCATGGCAGGCACATTCACGTGGCCCGTCTCAAGCAGACCCGATTGTGCGACATGTTTATAAACCCGCAACCCTGGACGGTTTTCCCTTGAAATGAACGGAGTGGAGGAAATGGGCGAAGATTAGACATGGCAAAGTATGTAAACAAACCCAATTTCTGTTTTCCACTAGACGGTTTCCCAAGGGCTTCACTCAAACCCCCTGACAGGTTTCCTGTAAATACATGTACCTTCTTCGTAAGATTGATCCATTCTTCAGAATTTGATGTGTTCTAATGTGACAAACCTGACTATATACTAAGGGTGTATTCCTACGGCCTCCTATCAAGAAACCTCCTATCAAGATTGTACCTTTTGCCTGGTAAAAGTAGCGAGAGATTTTGGGTTTAGGGAATTTTCCAGTGAGAGCTTGATAGGAGGTTTTCTTGATAGGAGGATAGGAATACGCCCTAACCACTATGCAATATAGGTACCAAACTAAATCTCTAGTGGGATAAAAATCTTATAGGGTACCATAATGGACAAATGTATGCACAGACAGAACCCCAACCATAGTATGCAAGTCAATGACAAATAACAAGACTAGTAGGTTAAGCCCCAGCATGACGTGTTTGTTCACTGATTTTTCCACCCAAGCTCAGCTGCTTGGTTTTATGACCTTGGGGCGATACACTCCTGAAGAGATGTCAAGAGATCCCTTCTCCTCCCGGCAGGATCAGCCTCTCTAACCTGCACATTCGTTCTCAGCACACTTGGTTCCCCTCCACCACCCTCCTGAGCTACCTTCCAATACATGCAGGCCAGCTCGCTCCGGTACTGATCATACACAATAGTAGCATTTGCCTCCATCTTCCTAATAGCAGGCCAGTCATATCAATCCATGGCATACTGCCATATCTGCATCTGAGGGAAAGGATTCACATCATCACACCCAGGGAGCTCTCCAGAAGGCAGAGCATGGCACACACCCTCATGCACGTAATAAGCCGCCTCCTGGACGTATGTCTTGATGACACGTGGAGCGTTGTGCTCGTGCTTTGTGGCGACGCGGAACAGCTGCGTGTAGGGCAGATGCACGCCGACACGGGGAATCGGCGTGTGATTGGTCCATTCCAAGGCCCAGTGCACCTCATCATGAGCATACGCCCACATGTAGTTCCCAATGGTCGTGTGAGCGATTTGGGTCCGCTTATACCCAGGTCCATGCTTGGAGAACCACTTGAAAGCTGAGTCAAAACTGCCGCCCTTATCCTTGTGCAGACTCGCCACGTGGCTCCTGAATTTCGGCAGGACGCTCGTTGGCACCAGAAACGGCAGCTGCACCATGAAATTGGCGAAGTACTTGTCTTCCCCAACGAAAAACTCAGTGGAGGGTAACCAGTAGTCCAGCTGTCGCTGACCGTTGCCAATCACGTAAGGCTTGCCGTCCGTCAGGTTGAACAGTAACCCGGGTGTTACTTTCAAGTCAAAGATGACGTCATCATCGATTAGGGCCACGTAAGGGGCTGTCGTGTAGTTGTCAGCCCAGAGGTAGCTCCACTGCTGCAGGATCTTTCCTGGAAGCTTCAGGCTGTTATCCTCGTAGTAGACTTTGATCCACGTGGGAATGAGGTCCTCGGCCACTTGCTCGTCACCGTCGAGGATGAGGATGACGTCACCAATGCCACGTGGCCACATCTGCTCGATGCTGTGAAAGAGCATTTCGAGCAGGAAGAAGTTGCTTGACACGTGGCTGCGGATTACGAGGTCCACGCGACCAGGCCATAACGATCTGCCAACAAATAATAGCAGAAAGGCCATGTGGATCATAAGAGTCTGAGCGAGATAACCTGTGACAGATAAAATTGACTAAAAACGAGAAAAACACCTCACAACGACAGCCTGCCATATCTGAGATTTGCAAAGACAAAAAAAAGGGGAAAGAAGAGAAAAGGGAGAGCGGCGAGGTGCATGCACTGCACGTACCGGTACGCATCGTCGTAGAGGCTGAAGAGCTCCGCCACGCAATGACCCGTTCGTGACCGCCGCCTGCACTCCCTCCCGCTGCTTCCGGCGCCATTGTCACTGGTGGTAGTAGCGTTAATAGTAGTAGCAACGGGACCATGATCAGGCCGCTGGTCCAGGACAACTTTCACAACGTTGCCGTCAGGCTCACTAGTAGAAACCGTGGAAATCGCTTTCGCGAAACTGCCAGCGCTCGTGCTTCGAGTCTTACCCGCCGCCGAGTCGCCGAGCTTGACTTGTGCTCGTGACTCCGATGTCTCATTCATCATCCCCAGTACCATCTTTGCGCTTAACACGGCTTCGTCTCCGCCGGCGGCTCGATCGTTCTCGTCATTTGGTCGCAGAGTCTCTGCCAGTAACGCAGAGGCTCTGCCTTGCGCAGGCATCGGTAGAGCAGCTGCTAAGTCGTCGTGGTAGTCGTAAGGCGCTGTCAAGAGCCGTCGCAGGCCGGTCGCACTACGGAGCCCGCGAACCGAGCAGTCTGGCGACGAGACAACCGGGTTTGTCGTA